GAAACGAGGGGAGGGTGAGAAGGGGGGTGTTGGGTAGGAAATAGGGGGGCAGAGCGGTGGGGGGGCTGGGGAAGGGGCTGGGAATGCGAGTTATGGGGCAGAGCTCTGAGAAGGGACAAGTGTAGGAAAGGACTCATCTGAGCGTACGGTTTTAGCTAAGTTTGAAGTAGAGAACGACCAAATGTGCCTCTTGCCTGGGCGTTTTGGCGGCTGGCTTCGGATAAATTATTTATCCGGCTTGATTGTTCCCCTGTGAAGTGGGAATACTGCTTCGCCGGGGTAGCTGTTACCCCGCAGTGACTGCTGGCTGTAAGACACCAAGAAACCCTGTGTTCAAAGTGAGAAAAGGTAGGGTGTTGCAGCTCATCAGGATATACCTAAGCGCTGTTTCCAAGCTATTTTTTAATACCTTTCTGGGTTTTTTCCCCACTATTTATTTCTTTCATGTGATGATTTTTAAGGAAGTTACTTGGGTTAATTTTAGCAGGACGTCCTTCTGTCCCAGGAGGAGTGCCAGGCCGCTGCTGCACCCTTAATTGTAATAATGCTTTAATTGTACCAGTGAAAAAGCTCTCGTTACTGTGATGGTCTTGGTCTGGCTCATCCAGGAGCCACCTGGATCCTCGCAAAGCAAATTGGGAGAAGTGGGAAGGAAAAAAAACCACCTGAAAGTAAATAAACGATGTTTTAAATCAGAAAGGTGTCGCAGCAGCTACTGCAGTCTAGTGGTTAAAGCAGGCATCACCTGCAGGGAGATGAACAAGCCTGTAAGCGTTCGGGTATTATTACATAAAAATGGTATGTAATTCTGTTAGTCATCAGCCGTGTATTTTAAGCAAACCTAAAAATAGCAGCGTTTGGGGGTTTCGTTTGTTACGACTCTGCTATGCCGAGTTCCTCTCCAGGGTGAACGTTCATGTCCACGTGGGTATAATACTAATTAATTAGCGCGCTGCGTGATACGACTGACGCTTCATTCCTTCGGAAGAGGGGTTTTACTGAACTTTGGTCGGCGTGAGCGGGTCGTTTCGTTCCGCCGCGGGATTTTGCCTGTGTTAAAGGGAGGTTTTCCGCCCCGAGGGAGCGCGGAGCTGGGGCAGGAGCGCGTCTGACACCCCAGCGCGTCGCTGCAGCGGAATCCCTCGCGGCTTCCCCTCGTCCTCCGGCGCATCAGCCGCGCGCTCGAAGCATTTTTGCTGCCTGAGGACCGCTTCTTTGCCCGATTTGTAAAGTTGCCGTCGTGAGAGACAAAAAAAAAAAAATCCTCCTTACGACGGCGCATTAACGCTTCCCACTTGAGATCGACCCCGTGTTTTGAGGGCGCTGTTGGCAGCAGCATCCTTCGAGGAAAGAAGCTCGTCTTGTCCCGTGGGTTAGTCGAATTATCGCTTACGGTGGCTTTCTGCCAAGTGGGTTTTTGGGGTTTGTTTTTATTTTAGGTACGGCAGACTCCGCTCGATTCGTTTCGGTGCTCGGGGACCGAAAAAAGGGAAACAGTCGAGCGCGAGGGTGCGTCGTGTGGCTTAAATGTTGGGCGTTTTTTGTAAGCGCTACTGACGGTAGGGTTCATCGTCTCCTTTTCCCCCTCCGTGATAAAACAGCCCGGAGCCCTGATCCTCTTCCGGCACCGTACCCGGTCGACGGCTCCCGGCGAGGCCCGGCGTTCCGGCAGAGCCACGGCGGAGACGAAGAGCGGCGGCGAACGACGGCGGCGTTCGGCTGGGCTGGCGCCGCGCTTTTATGGCGTAATGCACCAAAATAAACCCCCGCGAGGTCCCACCCAGGTACAAACAGAACGTATATCCAATTCAAATCCAGCCAATCCAGGGGTATAAACAAAGCCCCAAGCCCGGCCTCTCGCAGATTAATTACTCGCACTGGTCAATCACATCTAACCCGCCTAATCAGGGCGCGGGCAAGGCGCCTGGCCCTGCCTACCCCTGCCTGCACCCCGCCAATCGCCAGCGGAGCCTCCTCGCCGGCTCAACCAGTTTGTAACTGGGATGTCGAGGACCCTGGGCTGGGCTGGGCGCTGGGCTGCCCGAGCGTGCCGGCAGGGAGGCCGGGCCGGCGCCGCTTGGGGCTTTATCCCACCAAAAACCCAGCCTAAACCCGGCAAATGTGGGGTTTTTTCCCAGCTTGCCTTGAGCAGGAGGCAGTTTTTAAGCGTTGCCTTTCAAGACTGGCACTCGTTAAACCCAATTTTCTTCTTTGTAAGTGAATATAGGTAAAGATATCCCTTGCAGTGCTTTAAGAAGTGTTAAATCCCTGAAGCGCTGCCTCCGAACGCCCCTCTGCGTGCTTCGCTCTGGACCTGTGACTTAAAAGCGCAGGATCAGACCCAAAACGGGACAGGCCCGCGACAGTTCAGTAACGAGGAGCGCGCGTATCGCAGGCAAACCCCCTCCTCCCTTCCCGGTTTTAGTCCAGGCTTTTCTGTTTTTCAGCCAGGATTCAGGAATTAGCCGGAGAAATTTTATTTTGTTATTTACGCCGGCAGAATCTAGGCAACAAATTTTATCCGAGAAAGCCGTTCGCTGCTTGACAACGTACATCAGCCCCTCGTCGCTCCTTTTGCTCCGCCGATAGTACTTTTGGTGTCCTGCGCGTGTGTTCTTTGTGCGGGTGACGCAGCCCCGAGTGTATTCAGAGTAATCGAGGGTGTTTTATGGGTTTTATTTATCTCTAAAAAAGCCCCTTAGGCAACAGTAATTAAAAAAACTGGGTCCTCAGAGCTGCCCGTGGGTCGTGGCCGGCCCGGTTTGGGGGTTTTGCCAGAAGCTGCGGCTTTGCCGTACCGGCGCCGAGCTTTTTGGCTAGAGCTTTCCTCGAAATTAAACACCTTTTGTGAAAAAGTGGGGTGCGTGCAGGCTGGGGGGTTTCGGGAGTCTCGATCCGGCCGCGAGCGCTGCCGGGCGGTCTTCCTCTGGATTCGGTGGGTAAAACGATTAATTTCTCTCCCCGCAGGGCCCGATCCTGCCGCTGACGACCCACGGGCGAGGGGGCCACCGCCTGCCCCCGCCGCCACGGCGAGGCCGCGTCGCCCCGCAGGTAACCCCCCGGTTTTGGGGTGGGGGCTTCCCGCTCGGCCCCCGCGTTATTTCCACCCCCGTTTCACACAGCTGGGGGGTGGGGGTCTCCCCATCGCAGGGCCGGGGCGTCCCCTAAGCGGGAGGAACCTTGGCTTTGCTGGGCCTTTCCTAGCGCGGCTGAGCCCGGCCTAGCAAGGCCGGGCCCGGGGCGCCGCTCCTCGCCCGGGGGGGGCGTGGCGTATGCAAATACGGGCGGG